TTTTTTTTTTTTTTTTTTTTTTTTTTTTTTTTTTTTCAGAAACAGAGTCTCTGTCACCCAGGCTAGAGTGCAGCGGCATGATCTTGGCTCACGGCAACCTCCACCTCCGGGGTTCAAGCGATGCTCCTGCCTCAGCCTTCCAAGTAGCTGGGACTACAGGCAAACGCCACCATGCCCGGCTAAGTTTTGTATTTTTAGTAGAGACTGGGTTTCACCATGTTGGTCAAGCTGGTCTTGAAGTCCTGACCTTGTGATCCGCCTGCCTTGGCCTCCCAAAGTACTGGGATTATAGGCTTGAGCCACGGTGCCCGGCCTCATTTTTGATACCGAATGCCTGGTGTCTGAGACATGACTGGTAAGAAGGTGTCTCTTTAGGCCTGTCCTCCCCGTGGTGGAGGTCATTATAGACGAATATGGTTACTGTTTGAATAGAGGCCGCTTTCATTGGATGAAACTTGATTCAGTGGATGGTGGTGTGGAAATGGCACTAAAAAGCAGCTCTGAGGTATTCCAGGTTCTCCCTGTGTCACCCACGCTGGAGTGCAGTGGCATGATCATAGCTCACTGTAGCGTTGACCTCCCTGGCTCTGGTGGTCTTCCTGTCTCAGCCTCCCAAGTAGCTGGGACTACAGGCTGGTCTCAAATTCCTGGGCTCAAGCAGTCTGGCCCCCCTCAGCTTCCCAAAGTGCTGGGATTATAGGCGTGAGCCACCATGCCTGGCCAAGTGGGCACTTTAGGATCCAGAGAACTTAGGTTGTTGTCTTTCTTCTTCAGGAGAAACTCGGCACAGTGACAGAGGCGCCCAGGGCTCAGCAAGCTCACGGCCCAGCTTGTTGGACTCAGAGGGCAGAAGAATCACATTCTAAACATGACAAGGTATAGCCGCAGGAGGCAGATTCCCAGCTTGACTCTCCAGAGCCTTCTAGGTCCCAAGGGTGCCTGTGACACCAATGGGAATCTGAACCAACACAGATTCCAGAGTCTTCTTAGGAGACCTTAGCGCAGCTCTGGCCACTTCCTGAGCATGCGTGTGGCTTCCAAACTGTCCAGGCTACTTCATGCGTTTGGTTTAACGGGTTGTCGTAAGGCAGAAGAATCTTCTTGAACTTGGAGTCGGGTACATGGTCTGTTGGTTAGTACTTTGTTCAGAGGCACTGAGGGTGGAGGGCCTGCGGAGCTGGATTCTGCTGCTGGGAAATTGGGTGGGCCTCGTTTCTGGGCCTCAAGTTCAGGACTAAATTAGAGTCCTAGTATTGTGAGCTTAGGGTATGCCCTGGGCATGCCACACACTTTTTTTGTACTAAGAGGATAGAAAAGCAAAGTCCAGACTAGTTGTCAAATTGAAACCCAACTACCGGGTATATTTATGTCTTAGGCATAGAAGGAATAATTGGGGGTGGGGACTGGAGAACCAAGCTAAAGGGAAAGACTAAAAGGGATAAAATACTTCCTGTGATTTTGCCCCATCATCTCTTTTCTTCCAGAGACGTGACTCAACAACCTCAGCTGGGCCTGGCAGCACACATACCCCACACACCTTTCCATCTCCAGGGTCACAAAAGCCACAAGAAGCCACGGGGAGGCTCCTGGCCACTTACTTTACCTAAGGAGCCCCTGAAGTGGCAAGTGTGTTTCCCTTTGAAGAGCCATTGCGTGTTTGGTGATACTTCCTGTGGCTCTGGGTAGATGCGGTAGACTCCCTGTGTGGGGATTGGGCTTCTGCAGTGAGTCCATGAGAAGGGGTGGGTGTGGTGTGGTGTGGAACCTTGGGGAAGGGTGAGTGGGGGCTGGAGGAAGACTTAATGAATGGACAGTCCTGTATGATCAGCCAGCTGGCAGCGGGGAGGTAGGAGCTGATGTTTTCCCATAATTAGCACCCAAAAAGCTGTTCCCTAGAGGGAAAATTTAAGGACATTTCACAGCCCCATGTTTTGTCACTGACACTCTGGAACATTGGTTTCTTCAGAGTCACTGCTGCAAAGGCATTGTTGTTGGTCCCCTGAGAGACTGGCAGTCTCTGTAGAGCCACTGATTTATGACTACAACCTGAAGTTGGCGTGGCAGTCCTCCAGGCGCGCCTCCCTGCCCGCTCCCAGCCTCCTCTTTGCCCACCTGATTGGCAGGGGGCAGTGGCTCAAAGAGACGGTTACTAAGCAGCCTGGCCTGGATGTGGTGCCCCGCCAGGTTGAAAGAATAGCTGCAGTGTTCAGAGGAATGGGGAATTTGGCCTGTCCTGGCATCAGGAGGGACTTTTTGGGAAGGGGTCTAAGACTGAGTCTAAGCTCAGGGTGGGGAACTGGGTGGCCTCCCTGGCACCCTCCTTTTGAGCCCTGGCATGGTGTGCCATGTCTTTGTGTAAGTGGAGCCTGCGGAGCTCTGCGCCTGTCCTCAAGAAGGTCTTGTGCAGGGTGCTTCCTGTCTCTTCTGCCTCGCTGATCAAAGGGAAAGGACCTGGTGTCCTACAACTTTCTCTGAACTCTGCTTCTGCTGTTCTGATCGTTAGCAAGTGTGGCCTTTGAGATTGTTGATCTAACTGGGTTTGAGGGGCTGGGTGTCAGCAACCCAGAAATGGGGGAAACAGGTGTGTTCTTGCCATTTTACGCTTGGGACAATGGAGGCAAGGGAAGACATGTGACTTGGGGCTTGGACCATGGCCTTCTCAGCATTGAGTTTGGTTTAGATGAAACATTTACTGTGGAGCAGTGAAATCCAGAAAATGTCTAGCCTTGCTCTCAGGTTTCTGCAGGACCTGTGAACGTGACTGTCATGGGACAGTGTTTGCATTCAGGATTGGAGGAAGCTTTCCTTTGAAAGGAGTATAAAGCCAGTGTAAAGAGAGCTGAGAGCCAGAGAGAGGCTGCCTTGAGCCCAGAACCTCTCCGGGAGCCCCGTTCTGTCGTTCTTTGAAGGTTCGCTGCATGCTTGCTCTGAGGTTCCATGAGCTGCCCCTTTATCCTCATGATAAAGCCTCCCTTTTTTGAACCAAAAACAAGAAAAGTCTCTTGGGAGCAACTAGTCTGCATTTTCATCTCAGGAGTCTGCTGTTACAAAGCAGTCACCTCTTGCTTCCTTGGTACCAGTGGTAGAGGCAGTGGTGTCTGGGCTAGCTGGGGCCTTGAGCTCTGCACTCTATTCAAGCATGTTTTCCTCGGACCCAGGAGAGCGCAACAGGCAGGGCATACGTTGTCCAGGTGGCCGCGGCAGGCTTGCTAGCGTGTGTTCTCCTCAGCGTTGGGTTTGGTCACTGAAGAGGCATGGAGGAGAGACCGACGTGGGGCTCTGGAGCATCCGGCTGCTGCGATGCAGGAAGAAGAGGGTTCGGACGCTTGGGGGTGCCAGAGGCCCCTGAGGCATCAGCTTACCCTTAGTGTTCCTGGCGGTGCTTTTACCTTTTCTCCATCCTTAAGAACCCTGAGTGGTCTCAGCGGAGAATAGCTGGCTCAGGACCCGCAGTCTTACCTCCTTGTATTTGTTTCTCTTTTGCAGGATAATACAGAAGCAGAAAAGCGAGACCCCCAGGAACTCGTGGGTGAGTATTGGGGGAGCGGGGGTGGGAGGCGCGTTTCTCAGCCTTGCCCCTAGCGGCCTGGCTTCTGGCCATGCCTGGCCTGCCACTCCACAGGGCTTCTGTCTGCTATGAACGCCATGGTCCCTTCGGCTCCCTCTCAAGGCCTTTGGCATTTCCTAGGATACCCCGGGTGAGACGCCCAGGGAACAGTTCTTCTTTGGAAATCGTATTCGTGGTGGCATTTTATTGGGTTTGGTCAGTTGCCAGCACTGTCAAGAGGGAATCCAGGGCCCCTTCAGCTGGGAGCATGTCTTGGTCTCTGCTTCCCTTAGTGCCCGGGCCTGTCCTCTTGTCTTTGCACCCCCTCCTCCCCATCTCTGCTGGCATCTGCATGCGGCTCAAGGAGCCAGCATGTGGCCTCTGCTGGCACTTTGCTTTGTCCCCAGGCAGGAACATACCTCAGCCCTGGAGTCTGGGGCTCTTTGTGACTTGGGAGAGCAGGGACACTCTGTTTCTGGAAAACAGCACACATTATCAAGTCCTGTGCTAGCCCAGCCTTTTAATCCTTTTAGAAAGCCCCCCAGCTCCTTTAACGTGGCTCCCAAAGCCCAACCCAGGGGGAGTTCCTGGTATCTGAGTCCAGAGCCCTTGGTGGGGTTGGCCCTCCCTCTCTGTGGCAGCCATTACCAGCTCCCCTGCCCATCCTGCTGATCTTCACAAACAGGCTTTTGCCTTCTACAGTCTTGCTGCAGTGGCTTACTGGCTCCAGCCCTGGAGGTTCAGAGCCCAGGGACCACCTGGAAGTGCTGCCCCAGTGCTCAGACCCTCCCACCCAGGCCTTCTTCCAGTAGGACCTCTCTGCTGGGAGTTGTGCTCCGGAGCCTGTTCTCCTTTTCCTGAACTAAAGGAGCTGGGAATCGTTCATTCTGTTTGTTTTTTGAAGACGGATTGGGTAGGAACATGATAAATGCTGAGCAGCCCAGACCCTCAGCAGGAGGGCCTTAATCCCTGAGTTCTCTGATGGAGCTTGAGTCTTTCAAATCCTATAAAAAACAGTATTTTCCTAAAATCTACAGTTTGCTGTTTATAAAGTGCTGCGTAGGGGTGCAACATTTGGCTTTGAGGGCAGAGGAAGCAGAGTGTGCATCTGCTGGGAAGCCGACGGCCTGCCCTAAGTGGGTGATCCACGGGGTGGGTGTGGATGGGTGCCTCGGCCTCTTCTCCCCACCATCACCCGAGCTGACCCTGCTGTTCACTTTGAGAAACTGCACAGCCGGGGATCAGCAAGCAGCCTGTCACATGCCAATGCAGATGCCCTCGCTCTTGCTAGTGGTGCTGGGCAGGCAGTGGAATGTGTGTGGGCATCAGCCATCTCAGCCCTCAGCTACTTCCAGGACCAACTTGTCACTTTTTCTGTCTCTGCCGCTTTTGGGAAATAGCTTTATTGAGGTGTAATTTACATAGAGTAAGATTCGCCAATTTTAAGTGTACCATTTGATGAATTTTGACAGATGTGTATAGTTGCGTTAGCCCCACTACAGTCGTGATACAGAACATGTCCATCACTCTGAAATGTTCCCTCTTGCCCGGACCCTGTTACAGGTGATTCCCTCCCTCAGCCTCAGGCAAGTCGTGATCTACACTCTCCTCACTATAGCTTTGCCTTTTTGAGAATTTTCTGTAAATCAGGATCTCCCAGCCCTGGCCCTACTGACACTTTGGGCTGGATGATTGTTGTGGGGCCGTCCTGCGCTTTGTAGGGTGTTAGAGCAGTGTCCTTGGTCTCTACTCCTACATGCCGGAGGCACTCTCCCTCCCGCAGGTGTGAGGATGATGCACGTCTCCAGACATTGCCAAATGTCCCCTTGGGGCAGAATTGCCCCCAGTTGAGAACCAGGGATAGAAATGGAGCTAGGGTTTTTGTGACTTGGGAGAGCAGGGACACTCTGTTTCTGGAAAACAGCACACATTATCAAGTCCTGTGCTAGCCCAGCCTTTTAATCCTTTTAGAAAGCCCCCCAGCTCCTTTCGCGTGGCTCCCAAAGCCTAACCCAGGGGGAGTTCCCGGTATCTGAGTCCAGAGCCCTTGGTGGGGTTGGCCCTCCCTCTCTGTGGCAGTCTCTGTGGCTTCTCACTCAGCACAGTGCTTGCGAGGCTCATCCATGTTGTTGGGCATGTCCAGAGTTTCCTTGTATAGCCAAGTAATATTTCACCGTAGGGATGCTCCACTGTTTGTTCACTCATTCACTCATGGAGCACACAAATGGATTTTTAACCGGCATCATTTTAATGATTCGCCGTTCCTCATTGAAAAGTAGCTTGTGTAGCTCCTCTTACTGAAGACGTAATTAGCTGAAGGCAGAGTGGCTTCTATTCATGATGGCGGCGCATATCAGCCCCTCTGCCTAAGTTTCTTTTGTCCACTCTGGTGTCAAGACTCACATTGCTTACCAGAAATGTGTCCATGCGTGTAGACAGCCCTAGCTTTAACAGAACAAGCAGGAGAGCAGAGAAGCCAAGCCACAGGCATCTGCAGCTCTGTAGCCCCTTGACAGAGCCGAGCGTGCACACCCTGTCTGTGCCCTCCAGGGCCTCGCTGATGCCCACGCCTGAACCTGGAGCAATGGTGCTGGTGTGGCAGTGCAGTTGAGTTCTCTGTGTCACTTGGGAGCTGCAAATACTCCACTGTCCCTGGGGCCCCCAGCTCACTCCCTCCCTTCCATCCCATCAGCCTGTCCAACTAGCTGCTCCTGTGCAGATCCCTCCCTGGCAGCTGTGGGCACTATGGGTGTTGTCTGACTTGGGTACGTACCAGGGCAACTCATGCTGACAGCTGGCTTCTCAAGTCCTAAGTGCGGCTGCCTCTGAGAAAACCCCCGTCAGGCTCAGGCAGTAGCCACCACAGACCCAGGCACTGCTTCCAAGTGACTGTGGACACATTGCTCTATGTATGTCCTAGGACATGGCTTGAGGCTCTGTCTCCTCATAATAAATGTGGAGCTCATGTCTTCCACTCAGATTCATTCCAGGACTCAGGAAGGAGAGGATTATTGAAGGGTTGCTTCCAAACTCTGTGTTGTACATTTGTATCTAGTTTTCCTGAATTCCCTTTATTTGCCAGCCTACTTCCTAGGAATTATCTTGTTTCAAGCCCTGGGCTTCAGGGAGGTTCCTCTCCTCTTATCACACTGTATACCATGTGAGCCCCAGAGTGTGGCTGGGTTGCTGTGGCAACAGGGTCACACCCTGTTTTTCCAAAAGCCTTTCCTGACAAATGCCAAAGGGCACTCTTTGTGTCTCTGTCACATGCACACATACGAACTCTCCAGCCCAGGGAAGAACATAACGCTGATTGTTTATGTGCCCAGTGCCTGCCAGGACCCTCCTTGCTTTTGTTGCTGCTGCTTGTGAGACAGGACCAGCTCCCCCTAAGCTGATTCGGCCCTCCACCAGCTTTTGCAGCCACAGGCCTAGCCCTGTCACCTATTCCAGGGCTGGGAGGAAGTCAGGAGGAGACTTGAATTCCAGCCATATCTGGGTGTCACCTTTGCTTGAGGAGTCAGACCAAAGGAAGCTGCTGGGCAAAGAGAAGCACTCTGTCCCCTGCTCTTGGGCTGCACTGGCATCTGAGGTCCGCGGCAGGACCTCTGATCAATGTGTCACCCAGTCTTTGTTCTCTTGCCCTCACCCAAAATGGCAGGTTAGTGTTCTGTTCTTGGGGTGCTTCCAACAAGAATCCATTGACAGCAGTGAAAATCAGCACTTGAAGTCTTGTTTTTAGGATGGCCCCAGGCTCGACCCCTGTCTCAGAGTGTATTTGCAGTGTGCATAGGCTTGTCCTGCAGCAGCTGGACTGGCAGAGTCTGGGGGCCTTGTCCCCAGCCCTCCTCAGCACTGCGTTCTTTACGGTAACTGAAACCCCAGGCGGAGATCAAAGCACCTTATCTACTAAGCAAATAATAACCCAGCCTGGGGAGAGGAGAAGGGACAGGCTGTGCAAAGCCAGCCCGGGCAGCTCAGCAGTGGGGTTAGCTGGGGCCTGCACACAGTAGGTACCCAGTAAGTGCTTGCTGAGTGTTATTGGTGGTTTGTACATTCTTTCTCTTCACCCTGCCCCACCCTGCCCTGCCTGCTGTTTGCTCATTGTATGGTCCTTTTCATGAGAGAGTATTTTGAAGAGCACAGACAGAATCTTAACAACAAACAGCACATTGTCCCAGCGATCCCAAACAGGACTGTAGGGCCAGGGTGGCCAGAAGCTGCTGGGAAGGGGCTGGAGAGAGCAAGACCTGCTGGGCAGTGGCAGATCTCTGAGGAAATTATCCCCTGGGGGTTGTGGTTCTTCCCATCAGAATTAGGCCTTTTGTTCTCAGGAATGAGGTGGGTAAGAGAAAGTTGATTGGTTTATTTTTAAAAGATTCTAAGCTAGGCCGGGCGCGGTGGCTCAAGCCTGTAATCCCAGCACTTTGGGAGGCCGAGGCAGGTGGATCACGAGGTCAAGAGATCGAGACCATCCTGGTCAACACGGTGAAACCCCGTCTCTACTAAAAATACAAAAAATTAGCTGGGCATGGTGGCACGTGCCTGTAATCCCAGCTACTAAGGAGGCTGAGGCAGGAGAATTGCCTGAACCCAGGAGGCGGAGGTTGCGGTGAGCCGAGATCGTGCCATTGCACTCCAGCCTGGGTAACAAGAGCGAAATTCCGTCTCAAAAAAAAAAAAAAAAAAAGATTCTAAGCTAATAACTATAAAAGATCATTTATGCACAAGGCCATTTTGGATGCTTTGGGAACGCTGAGTTCTGTTTCTCCTGTAGCCTAGGCAGAGACATACCCAATGTAGGCTGGAGCTGGTTCACGTTGTGAGCCTATTGTGCACATCTCTTCCCGGCCCTGGGTTCAGTGACTTCACCTTGGTAGCTTAAATTTGGCCATGGCAGGAGAATTTACACCATAAGAAATGGCAAATCATACAGATCAAGCGCCTCCACCCTCCCCATCCCCACTCCAGTGATGTCTCCCCACTTCCCCATCCCCATGGTGGTTAAACATTTACCAGCACACTGCTGACTCTTTCCTTAAAAGTTTACCATTATGGGCTGGGCACAGTGGCTCATACCCGTAATCCCAACACTTTAAGAGGCAGAGATAGGAGTATGGCTTGATCTAACAGTTCAAGACCAGCCTTGGCAACATAACGAAACCCCATCTTTACAAAAACTTTTAAGATTAGCCAGGCATGGTGGCATGCGCCTGTAGTCCTTGCTGCTCAGTAGGCTGAGACAGGATTGCTTGAGCCCAGGAGTTCAAGGTTGCGGTGAGCTATGATTGCACCACTACACTCTAGCCTGAGTTACAGAGTAACACCCCCATCTCTTTATTTATTTATTTATTATTTTATGTATTTTATTTCCTTTTTTGAGACAGAGTCTCACTCTGTCACCCAGGTTGAAGTGTATTGGCACGATCTTGGCTCACTGAAGCCTCCACCTTCGGGTTCAAGCGATTCTCGAGCCTCAGCCTCTCGAGTAGCAGGGATTACAGGCATGTGTCACCATGCCAGTTGATTTTTGTATTTTTAGTAGAGACAGGGTTTCACCATATTGGCCAGGCTGGTCTCACTCCTGACCTCAAATGATCTGCTCATTTTGGCCTCCCAAAATGTTGGGATTATAGGCATGAAAGGAAAAAAGTTAACTGCTGCATACAGTTGTACCCTCCACCTGGACTTTCTTCGCTCAAGCTGGCACATGGCCCACCCCTTTTGGTCATTCAGTCTCAATTCAGATGACACCTCAGAGAGGCCACACCCAAACACTCAGTTGTACTTTGTTCATAGTGTTTATCCCTACCTGAAAACATTTTATGTGCTCATGTTTTTTTGTGCATATCTGTCCCTCGTGCTGATCCCCCACCTACAGAATTTTTCCCTCTTCTCTCAACAGCCTCCTTTTCTGAAAGAGTTCGGAACATGTCGCCTGATGAAATCAAGATCCCGCCAGAACCCCCTGGCAGATGTTCAAATCACTTACAAGTAAGCATGAGGCTTGGCTACTGAGGCCGGATAGATTAAATAGCCTGGGTTACATGTTTGGTTAGGTCTTAACCTGAAGAGACCATGGCAGGGAAAGGGACCGAGGCCTCTATAAAGAAACTGCCAGGTGGGAAGGATCCGCTTTACCTCCTGTTAGCCTCATCTCGGGAGTTGGCTCCTACACCCACTGCCATGTCCCCTGGTGCTCCTCCAGCAAGGCAGCCCTGGCTTGCTCTCAGTGAGGTCCGAAGCAGAGGCAGAGAAAATAACCTTCTCTGTGCATCCCAGAGATCTCTGTGCTGGGCCAATGGGAGCTTCTCAGAAGGAGCTTTGCTAAGAAACTGAGGAGCCATCAGAATGTAAAATAAATTACAGAAATAAAAAAACACAAGCACTTACAAGTTTTCTATCCTGATATATTTCTAAAATGCTGATTCAGTAGCTTCTTGCCTGACAGAATGTGCAGACCTGACTGGAGATTTGAAATCCCAAGGAGTCGAAGCTTTTAGTGCAGTTACACTCCCTTGGGGAACAGCTGGGGTTCAGCCCATGGCTCTCCTTGTCCCTCTGTGGGTTCCCTTGTGATGAACAATAAAACAGGCAGCCATGGCTGCACAATCATGGCTCCTGGACCACCTGCTTCACCTTTGGTCCTGGAGCTACCACTGGGTGCCTTCGACTACACAGCAAGCCCATGGCACCACCCTAACGGATGGATGACTAATGGGACCCGAGGCTAAAGAATGCAGCAAGCTGGGAAAGGGCCAGAGTCAGGACCAGGGATGCAGCGCAGATTCTCTTCCCTTCCTGGAAGTCTCCTCCCATTGCTGAGTTGTCTCCCCACCACCACCCTCCAGAATCACATCACCCTCCATGCCAGGCAGGCAGACAACAAGCTCCAGCTTGTAAGGACAACTCCAGCAACCCGCCAAGCAGAGACAGCAGCGACAGCCTCCGGTGCCGAATGTGCCTCCTGATGGTGCAAACCATGCCACTTGAGCAAACATTTTAGTTCCTCTGGGGTGGTAGAACTGATCTAATGGCCCAGGAGATGCAGCCAAGTCATCTGTAAGACATGGGTCCTCCTCAAGTTGCCGAGCCTTCTATATATGGCTCCCTCCATTACGCTGGAGGAGATAGCTTGGAGGAAAGAGATTCTTCAGTCTTGGCGATTATATCACAGACCTCTCTACAGTTCAGCACTTGCTCTGGCCAGTCTCAGTAGAAAGATGCGGCCTCTAATAAGGGGAGTGGATCACCCCTCCTGATGTGTCCTAAATATTGTCACCTGGGCCCTTCAGGCCTGCCCACCCGCTTTTGCAGCTGCGGTGCCTCAGATGTTTTCCTTCTGGAGAATCTATATTTAACCCCCACTGCAAGGGAGGCTGTAGGTAGATCTTGGCACTGGGCTGTGCTGATGCCATCTACTTTAGGCATCATCTCCATGGGCTGTGGACACCTATGGCACTGGCCACAGTAGGTAAGCTTGGATCCCTCCGGGTGGTTCTCCACTCTCCCATTGAAAGCCAGGCAGTGACCTGTGGGGGAGCTTGGGTGAGAGAGAAGCAGTCAGCCCTTGATGCTGTCAATAAACTGGTGTGGACCAGCTACCTGTGAGCCACCCCATAAACAGTTTGCAAGACCAGATCCAAAAAACTCTACTCCTGCCTCCCATCAAAAGGACATAGCCCTTCCAAAGTCTCCTCTGGGTCACAGTTCTGCTAAGGATTTGACCTCATGTTAAAATGTAAAACCAGGATTCAGTCCCTGCATATCAACACCAATGCCCTGAACGCTTCTTCGGATGATTCTGGAACTGATTAACCGGCTGGGGCTTTCTTCATTATTTTCTCTGTGGCTCCTCTGCTGTGATCTTTTCACTGCTCACTATACTGTCATCAGGAGGGCGTCAGGAAACCTCAGCAATGGAAGCAGCCTGGTCTGAGTTTATCCTACTTGTGTGCAGCTCTGGGCAAAGGCAGGGTGGAGAAAGAGGAGGTTAAATTTTAACATAAGGTCAAGCTGGGCTTTGCATGGCTCTGGAGCCTCACCTTCATGCTGCACACAGCACTGGTGACCAGGCGCTGGGACAGTGGAGGGACCTGGGCTTCTGTCGTATGCGCCCTCTGCTCCTCTTCCATAGGACAAGATCCAGAAGCTTTATGAACGAAAGATAAAGGAGGGAATGGATATGAACTACATTATCCAAAGGAAGAAAGAATTTCGGAACCCCAGGTAAGTTTACCTTGAGTTGAACCTGCAGAGTTTACTGAGTTATTTATGTTGACCTAAGGGCTGAGACGTTCCCAAGGAGGTGGTGAGGAAAAGCCCTGAGCCCAAACCATCACCCACACTTGTCATTACACTGAGTGCCTGCTAGACACAGCAGACTGCATTAACCCAGCCAGAGGCTTGCCATTCAAGATCGAGACGAAACACATAAAGCAGTACATACCGAGACCTAGGCTGGGATGAGGGAGACCTAGCTGAGTTCTTGTCCCTCCTCTGAGCCCAAAGCGCATGACCTCTCAAGGCCTCTGTCCTCGCGGAAGGAATTGGACTGGACAATTACTGTAGATTCATCTTCCAACTCAAAAAAGCTGATTTTTGCATATAGGTGAGAGGCCTTAGGACCAGAGCTATGTCTGGTCTTATTCCATTTAATGCACAAGCTAGTGACATACCCAGGAAAGAGCATGTCTTGTGTGTGGGCCTGAGTGTGGTGAGCCCAACCCAGCCATGCAGACTGAAGGTCAGTGAGACAAAACTTAGCCATCACCTTGACCCCATGCTCTTCCCGGCCCCTAGTTAACAGGTCCGTCTCCCTGGGAGGGTGGAGGGCCATCAGGAAGGTTGCTTAGAACCACTGAGCTGGGTTTAAAGGTTTTGAAGGTTTTGTATCATGAGCTGGATGGTTCAGGTGTCGTGCAGGGATGTGGACTTGTGCCTGCTCAGCACCCGTGCTATTCTTTCAGCATCTACGAGAAGCTGATCCAGTTCTGTGCCATTGACGAGCTTGGCACCAACTATCCAAAGGTGTGTCTGGGACACGGGGCTGGAGGGTGATGGGGACACCAGGCCATGGGATTTGACCTGCAGCAACAGAAAGGTCCATGGAGTGGCACCGCTGGTTGTAAAGCACAGTCCCCATCTCTTTGGTTTAACTCCCTATTCTGAAATAGTCCGATAAAGAGATTCCGGTGGTCGTCCTGGTGCCTGGCCCCTGACAGGGCCATGTGTGGACCTGCTGCTCTTGTAGGCCCACCTGGGGGTTGCTGGACAGGGGCATCGTGCTCCCATATTCTTTAGCACTTGCTGACTGCCCTTGGCTAGAGTCCAAGAATGACAGCCGAGCCCCGGGTAAGGGGACCCCAGGCCAGGAACCTCCATAGAAAAACTCGGGTATGGAACTTAGGTTTCTGAATCATTTGTCATCTAATGATTCCTACTAACTGCAACTTTCGCCTTTTCCTTTGCAGGATATGTTTGATCCCCATGGCTGGTCTGAGGACTCATACTATGAGGCATTAGGTAGCCTTTCGTCCCTCCTCCCCCATACCTCATCCTCCCACCCAACTGTCCCTTTATTTAGTCAGTTGGTTATCCAGGTGATACATGTTTCACGGTCTCCTCTACATCAGGCCATGTTCAAGGGAGGGGCTGGGTACAGGCCTGAATGAGATAGACCCACCCCTGACTCAAGAGGCTTATGCCACAGCAAAGACGACGGAACATTACACCAGTAATGCCAGCATCAGTGAATGTTGATGATGACGGAGTTGCTGGGTACAGACAGCTCTGGCAAGGAGGGTCATCTAACCTGACCAAAGGGATGGAAAGGCCTCACTGCTGAAACTGTATTCAAGCTGAGATTTGAGGAGGCTTAGGGGCCAGGCAGGTGTAGGCAGAATGCTCCTAGGTCAGTGGGAGCACGGCTTACTCTTTTTTTTTTTTTTTTTTTTTTTTTGAGTCAGAGTTTCTCTCGTTACCCAGGCTTGAGTGTAATGGCGCGATCTTGGCTCACCGCAATCTCCACCTCCTGGGTTCAAGCAATTCTTCTGCCTCAGCCTCCCGAGTAGCTGGGACTACAGGCGCATGTCACCACGCCCAGCTAATTTTTGTATTTTTAGTAGAGACAGGGTTTCACCATGTTGACCAGGATAGTCTCGATCTCTTGACCTCGTGATCCACCCACCTCGGCCTCCCAAAGTGCTGGGATTATAGGTGTGAGCCACCGCACCCGGCAAGCACAGCTTATTCTTAAGGTACCAGTTTGGGAGAACTGGAGGAACGTCAGAAGGCCCAAACCCCCAGACCGTAGGTCCCGAGCCTGCAGCCCACGGGCCTGTAGAGGTGCTTTGTTTGGCCTTCATGAATTTTGTCTTTTAATTTGAATTCATTGCCAACATTTTACATCATAATCTCTCATTCCAGCTTCTCTCAGTCAGTAGGAAGGTAGTCCCCATTAGGCCTCTATGCCCCTGTGCAGCAGTTCACTGGAGCTCGGGAGTAGCTGGCCCTTCCAGACGCAGGCGCAGGGCATGCAGCCCTCAAGCCCTGGAGCTGAAGGCCCCTGCTGCGCGCTGACCAAGGGCTGGCTTCATTTTGCCTAGCACAAAGGACAGCCCAGTGAGAAGAATGCAGGGATCAGAGTAGGCACCCTCAGCCCAGAGCTGCTCCAGGGCTGCCTTGGTAACAGCTTCTCTTGTCTTCATAGCCAAGGCCCAGAAAATCGAGATGGACAAATTAGAAAAGGCCAAAAAGGAGCGAACAAAAGTAAGTGATGGCAGACCTCATAGATGAAAAAGGCAGATGTGTGGAGTGCATGGGTCCTGCTGGCTGAGCCCAGAGGTTGTCCAGACTGCCCCCTACCCTGACCCCATGTCATCGCTCGGCGAGGCTCTGACCCCCTCAGCAGGGCCTGTGCACTGAGCAGGCCTGCTGGGCTCACAGCGCTCGTCTGCTGCCTCACCCTTGGCGTCTTGTTTGCTACATTGTGCCCCCACAATTGCAGAGCCTTGGGGGGCTTTGTCTGCTTCGGGTCATGGGTGCCCTCTCCGACCTGAAGGGAGGGAAATAGTTCCCTGAGACAGTGCCAGGCCCAGCTTGCTCTGCTCGGTGAGTTTCTTGGCCTCCAGAGCTGACCCCATTGGCCCGCCTGGGTTCTGCCTATTAGGTCCCCTGTTAGGACCCTGAGTGCCACTTGTTCCCCAGCAGTGTGGTCTGGGTTCTTCAGGGAGCATCAGTTTGGCTGTGAGACCAAAGCCTTGTCTCTGGGCATTGTTCCCTTTGTGACCAGAGTCCTGGAGCTGGGCCTCAGGACACCAGCTCCTTCCACCTCTGGCTGGGCCTGACCATCCTAAAGCAGCTGCAGCCTCCAGACCGCTTCCCTCACCCCCAGGCAGAGGGGCTGTGGGCCTGGGCATGCTGGTGGCCCTCTGGAGGCACTGGCTGCTGGGCCAGGAATGTGGGAGCTGGTTCAAGGGGATAATTGGGGTTTCTCATTCTTAAACCTTCATTGAATCTCCCTTCTCTCTCTTTCCCTCTCCCTTCCAAACCCCAGGCTTGTTGCAGGGACGTGTCTGCAGCGCCTGGGGACCGGAGCTGTCCTTCCCCTGTGCGGGCGGGCGCCGCCTCCTCCTGGGTGTGAGGAGGAGGGGCCTGGCCAAACGGTTCTGGGCATATGAGGTGGGGCGGTGGGTTGGGGGTGCTGGGATGTACAGAGACCTGGTGATGCCGGGAGGGATCCGGTACTGTTTGGAAAGTTTCTTAAGAGTGAAAAGCCCCTTCGGGTTCTTCTTAGACACCTCACCCTCCCCCAGATGGTCACAGCAGAGTTGATTTCCAATGCCTCCTTTGTGTAAGTGCCAAGCTCCTGTCCCCCAGGAGCTGACAGATGGCAAAAGGCTGTGGACACCCAGCTTTGCCCGGCCTGATTCTCTTCCTTCTCCCTCTTCAGATTGAATTTGTGACAGGCACCAAGAAAGGCACCACAACCAATGCCACGGCCACCACCACTACCACCGCCAGCACAGCTGTTGCAGGTAGATTGCAGAGATGCCCTGCCTCCTTCCACACACACATGGAGCCTGGGATGGGCCCCTTCGGTTTCTGCTCCCTAAGCCCCTGCTGGCCCACTAGGGGAAGGGAAAGAGGGCACCCACTCCTTGGTGGATCGTGATCCTGACTTCTCTTGCTTTATCTCCAGATGCTCAAAAGAGAAAGAGCAAGTGGGACTCGGCCATCCCAGTGACAACGATAGCCCAGCCCACCATCCTCACCACCACGGCCACCCTGCCAGCTGTTGTCACGGTCACCACCAGCGCCAGCGGCTCCAAGACCACCGTCATCTCTGCTGTGGGCACTATTGTGAAGAAGGCCAAGCAGTGACCTGAGGGGCTACCCTAGGACTTGAAAGGACCATGCAGCCCAGTGACCACTGCCCAATGGGAGGTGCCACTTTGTATATTTCAGGACTGGGAACTGCTCCCCAGATGCCACCTGAGAGGAACTTCTTTGTGGCATTCCATCCAGAAGGACATGCAGCGTGGGAGCCGGGCACTGTGGACAGGGTCTGTCCGCGCACCACCTGGGATCTGTTGCCCATTAAAAGTGCCGTATTTTTACCTCTTGGCATCTCAGATGCACTGTCTCTCCTGCATTCTGTTTGCAGGCAAATGTTGAAGCTCATATGTGCCCCATTTTGGTTGGGACTACTGCCTCAGGGTTGACAATAGGGTGATGGAGGCCTGGGACACTGTTTGGAGGGGCCCAAGAAGTCACCGTTGTTATCCAAATATGCCTCTGGCCATGGACAGACAGGAGACCCCGAGCCCCATGTTTGTGCCATCTGCCACCTTGATCGCAAAACCCAGCCAGTTCTCAGGTGATGGCCTAGCTGTGCTCCCTCGGGTGCACTTGAGTACTCCCCACACCAAACCCCATTTTGGACACACCCAGAATTTTGAAGTCAAGCCAGTTTCCAGAACGGCTGGGGTGAGATCCCAACCTATGCAGGGAGTAGGGAGGCATCCGTGCCTGGCCAAGGCTGCCCCAGTCCCTTGGTGCCCATTGAGCACAGCCAGCCAGAGCTGAGCAGCGGGGGAGATGAATCACCTCCTGCCCAGGCCAGGCGGCAGCTCATTGTTTACGGGCAAGCCCTGCTCCTGGGAGGGCTCCTGCCACCCCACCCTTCCTCTGCATGTTATCTCTGCCCCACAGCAGCCCCTGGGCAGCACCAGTGGCCACTGGGCTCCCTGCCTGGGCTGAAACGGGTTTCCCAGGCTAGGAGTCCAGAGGAGACCGTTTACCCTTCATGATCTTTGGCGACTCACCACTGTAGCGGAAGGGCTATGTGTCAGCAGAAGGAAGCCAGACTGTGAAGGGCCGTGTTGCTTTCAGCGGGTGGGCAGAGGTTTTGAAAGGTGGTTCTGAACTTGCAGCTGGTACTCCAGTGGGACCTGGGAAATATAAGGAACTCTGTGCATGAGGTTTTAAAAATGAAAATCAAGAAATCAAGTCCACTCCCCCGACACACACACTTGGGCACTTCAGGAGGTCAGCTCTCACCCCTTCCTTGATGGGGCTTTGAAGCTCTGGGGAGAGGAGCTGCTGTCCACTCATCCCCCAGAGGGACTCTGAAAAGGCTTCCTGCCCTGTGACCTCCAACAGGGGCCCCTCATTAACCAAGGGCACTGTGCAGGTTTTGCGGGAGGCACCGTGGCACCTTGGAAAGGGCAGTAGACCTGGAGCTGGCACTTCTGGTCTGGATTCCCAGTTTAAAACCAGTTGTGTGGTCTCCAGCCCTTCCCTCTGTAAGCTTGTTTGTTCTCTGAAATCACCGCTGAAAGGAACCAGGCCAGGACCCCTCAGACAGCGATAAAGCATCGTAAGGTCGCTGGGAGGAACCAGAGATGACTTAGCAAAAGCTTTATAAGCTGTAAAGTTCCTGCCAGTGTTTGTTGTTGGCTAAGTCCAATTTTGTTGTTGTTGACCAAGGAGAGAAGCAAACTCCTGGCCTGTGCCCTCTCGTGCTCTTTGTTGGAGGGGTGGGGTTGGCAGTTCTTTCCCCTGCTGGCTTTCCTTTGGGCGGCTCCAGCCCTGCCATTCACCTGTCCACTTAAAGCAGTAATGACTGTGTCTCCTGCGGGGCCCCAGAGATGGGGGGCCTGGAGAATGAACACGGGCTTAGAGTCGGGCAGCCCCTGGCTGAAACTGTTGTGCCCCTTACCAGCCTCCTGAGTTGGGTCAAGGTTTTTAATCCTGGACTTTCATTTCCTCTTCTATAGAAGAGGAAATGAAAATGGTGCTTGCCCACCTTAGTCTCATCAAGGATGGCCCAGAGGTCTGTGAACTGTTCCTGTTGGGGATGGATGGCCCAGGCACTAGGGGCCAAAGTTGTTTCTGTCCAGTGTGTCTCTGCTCACCAGAGAACTCTGTCTACGGCTTCTACTGTCACCCACCCACACACCCCCTTTCCTCTCTTCCTAGGGCTCTGATCTTGGGTGGGCATCGGGATTCATTTAGCTCCCCACCTGGCACATGTAGAACCCCAAGGTGTGTCTCAGGTTTCTATAATTCCCGACTCTGCTGGGCAGGTGGGCGCTCCTTTCTTAATGCTCACTGCACCCCCTTGCTTTCAGGATCACGCCTTACTGCCTTGTATCCTCTGCCCACAAACGGAATGAGATAGCTCGTGTCTTCTAGTTCTCGTAAGCAAAAACAAAGCAGGCATAAATAATCCTATGCCCCACTGCCTAGCGTGAGATGAGTACTCAGGTGACTGGGGAATGGAGGGATGGAAGGAGAGGTGAGTTTATTCATCTTCCAAAGGTGTGGTCCCTGCTCCTATGCTCACTGAACTGATGTTTCCAACCTGTAAGCTGCATCACTAAAGCCTTCTGGGGCTCAATTCCAAAGGGCTGCCTGTCAATTGGCTGTTCATTGAGAATCATTGAAGTTCAGTGATAGTTACAGAAAGGTTCAATATTCTTTTTAATTTTGTATATATTTGGAAATCTCTATAATAAAAGATTTTTTTAAGGGCTATTGAGCTGGGCACAGTGGTTCACACCTGTAATCTCAGCACTTTGGAGGCTGAGGTGGCTGGATCACCTGAAGTCAGGAGTTCAAGACCAGCCTGACCAACATGGTGAAACCCCATCTCTACTAAATTTAAAAGAAAAAAAAAAAAAAAAAAAACAGCCAGGTGTGGTGGCTCATGCCTATAACCCCACCTAGTTGAGAGGCTGAGGCAGGAGAATAGTTTGAACCTGGGAGGCAGAGCTTGCAGTGAGCCAAGATTGTGCCATTGCTCTCCAGCCTGGGCAACAAGAGCAAAAACTCCATCTCAAAAAAAAAAAAAAAAAAAAACTCCATGGATAGATTTGGAGTAGGAGAGATTAAATAAAAAGTTATCAAACAATGCATGTAATAAACCCTCTTGTATAAAAAATAACTGGGCATAGTGGCTCATGCCTGTAATCTTAACAATTTGAGAGGCTGAGGCAGGTGGATCCCTTGAAGCCAGGAGTTTGAGACCAGCCTGGCCAACATGGTGAAACCCCATCTCTACTAAAAATACAAAAATCAGCCGAGCATGGTGGTGCACACCTGTAGTCCCAGCTAGTTGAGAAGCTAAAGCAAGAAAATTGCTTGAACCTGGGAGGTGGAGGTTGCAGTGAGCCAAGATAGTGCCACCGCATTCCGGCCTGAGCAACAGACGGAGACTGCATCTCAAATAATAATAATTGCCAGGCGTGGGGGCATTCACCTGTAGTTCTAACTACTCAGGAGGCTAAGATAGGAGGATCCCTTGAGCCCAGGACTTGGAGGCTGCTGTGAGCCAAGATTTTGCCACTACACTCCAGCCTGGGCAACAGCAAGACTCCATCTCTAAAAAATAATTGTAATATTGGAGGAAGGAGATAAAAGAATAAACCAAAATGAGAAAAATCTCTAATATTAATTTTGAATCAATATTATCTGAGCTATCAATATGAACTCAGGATTTAAGAAAAAGATACATTTCCTATCTGTCCATTGCAAGGAGCTAGGAGGTCCTCCTTTGTATAGTGGTGAGAAAAAAAAACCTAGGGCTGGGCTCGGTGGCTCACGCCTGTGATCCCAGCACTTTGGGAGACTGAGGCACATGGATCACAATGTCAGGAGATTGAGACCATCCTGGCTAACATGGTGAAACCCTGTCTCTACTAAAAATACAAAAAATTAACCATGCATGGTGGCACGTGCCTGTAGTCCCAGCTACTCAGAGACTGAGGCAGGAGAATCACTTGAACTGGGGAGGGGGAGGTTGCAGTGAGCCGAGATTGCACCACTGCATTCCAGTCTGGGTGACAGAGCGAGACTCCATCTCAAAAAAAAAACCTCCCAGAAGCAATGACACCCTAGTAGCATCCAGCACACAGTACTCACATCTTGGTCTCTCTAGTAGCATCCAGCACACAGTACTCACATCTTGGTCTCTAATACCATTCCCTGCTGAAAGGAACCAAGCTAGGACCCCTTGGAGAAAGAGCTGATCCTGAAATCTAAGTAGGAATGGGGCAGTTCTAGAAAGCAGGGAAGACACAGAAGTCAGTCAAAAAGGTCAAAGAAGCCAGTGTGAAGGGATCTCCCACTGGCCGGATTTGGTTACACTTGAACATGAAGGAAGAATGAGTTCAATGAATTGGCTTTTTAATTTTGTTTTGTTTTGTGTTTTTGTTTGTTTGTTTTGAGACAGAGTCTTCCTTTGTCACCCAGGGTGAGGTGCAATGGCGTGATCTTGGCTCACTGCAACCTCTGCCTCCTGGATTCAAGCGATTCTCCCGCTTCAGCCTCCTGAGTAGCTGGGATTACAGGCACGTGCCACCAGGTCCAGCTAATTTTTGTATGTTTAGTAGGGATTGCATTTTGCCATGTTGGCCAGGCTGGTCTCCAACTCCTGACTTCAGGTGATCTGCCTGCCTCGGCTTCCCTAAGTGCTGGGATTACAGGTGTGAGCCACTGCACCCAGCCTCCAATGAATTGTAAACTATTGAGCACATAATCCATTCATTTATTGTGATAATTTGAAAAAAAATGTACTTGCCACCATTAGACTTGAATGTATCTACTCCTTGCTCTGAAATTGATAACTAAGTGAGAAAAATTAACCATGTGCACCGTTGATGGGATTCTGAAGTGGTGCAACTGCTGTGGAAAACAGTATGGCAGTTCCTCAAAAGTTATTTTTGTTTTTGAGATGGAGTCTCGCTCTATGGCCCAGGCTGAAGTGCAGTAGGCTCACTGCAACCTCCGCCTCCTGGGTTCAAGTGATTCTCCTGCCTCAGCCTCCCAAGTAGCTGGGATAACAGGCGCCTACCACTACACCCAGCTAATTTTTGTATTTTTCAGTAGAGACAGGATTTCACCATGTTAGTCAGGCTGGCCTTGAACTGCTGACTTCAGGTGATCCACCCACCTTGGCCTTCCAAAGTGCTGGGATTATAGGTGTGAGCTACCAAGCCCGGCCTTTTTTTTTTTTTTTTTTTTTTTTTTTTTTTTTTTTAGTCAGAAAGACATCTATTAAATGTAGAAAGGGGCTGGGCACAGTGGCTCACACCTGTAATCCCAGCACTTTGGGAGGCTGAGGT